TAATGTATACCCTGCTTATATATTATATTAGAATATATATAATCTATATACGTAGTGTCTGATTGTTAATTCTGCTTTTGATCATGGGTTTTTTGGATGAAGTTCATTATGCATTTTGATTTTTTTCTCTAGAGTTTTTTTTCCCAGTTAAAGCAGTGTATTAGGTAATTATTTAGATCTTAGTAAATCTTGCAAGTAATGCTGGCTAGCTTTCTTTTGTCTGTCTTGAATTTTTTTACTAGTTTTTCACTTAGCTCTTAACATTGATACTTAATGTAGCGTGATATTTTTCGGTGTAGCTATCTAAATTCCATTCTGCATCTGAATTGGCAAAAATAGCTCTGCATATCATGTGTTTGGACTATGTTCATGGAGTTGTGGAAGAGTACAGAGATTCTAAAACAAATTTAAGAGTTTTTCTAGTCCTTTTGATGTTGAGTTTTAGAGTAGGAGAGGAGGGAATATAGAAATGTCATATTTTATGGAAGTGTAGTGCATCAAAACATCTTGGTTATTGATGTAATACTTTCAGAAAACCTCATATTTTTGTATTTGCAGTATGTATCCAGAAATGATAGTTTGGCCTAAGTTGAAGTGATACAAACAAGTCTTTTTTCATGATGAAGGTCGTCAGACATTGGTACAGATTGCTCAGAGAGGTTGTGGAGTGTCCATCCACAGAGCTGTTCAGAGCATGGCTGGCCATGAGCCTGATCAACCTGACAGGACTTTGAGGTTGGCCCTCTTTGAGGAGGTGGTTGGACCCTGATGACCTCCTGAGGTACCTTCCAACCCAAGTTGTTCTATGTGTCTCTAACCGTTACTTCCCACTAAAGCCCTATGTCATTCCAAGTTCAAGTGGTGCACGTTCAGATGGTCTTGACAGTTGTGAAGAGTACGAGAAATAAATTAAGTCTCTTCTTGAATTGACTGAGTTGTATGTTTGTGTTAGGCCAGAAGGCTGTTTTTTTCTTGGTTTTTTTAAAATTATATATAAAAAAAAAAAGGCAGTCGCTGTTTGGAAACTATTTTTTTCTGTCTGGTTTGTAAGTATTTCCATTATAAGTGTCTGTCTTGGGGTGGTGGCAAGGGACAGCCTTCAAGTGTGATTATTAAAGTTTTGGAGGGGTTGTTCTGTTTGCTGGGGTTTTGGAATGAAAAATTCCCCACTGGCATTTTTCTTAATTGCAGGCGTGCCCTCCATATTGCCACTGTCTTACTTAAAACAGGTAGCTACTTGAACCTCTGCCTTTCTTCTTTCATCTTGCTTTCTAAATGAGTGCGCAGGGACAAACTGCAATAGATTTTTTTATTGCTGCTTCCTCTTTTTTTTGGTAGCCATGCTTCAAAGGCATCTCTTCATATATCTACATTTGAGACGTGTTCCTGTTCTTTTCCTAGTAAAGTGGTATTTCTTCTGAATTGTGTGGCGTAATGCTACTACAATATGGTGAGCTGGCTTTCTCATTTTACATCATCAGGAGCTGTCATGAATCTCAGCAGGCATATCGAGCACCTGCTTCTTGCTGTCTTACTAACAGTGCACAGAAAATCCTTTGGAATTTCAATTAAGGAGGCGGCAACTGGGATTAGGAACTGCAATTAGCAAGAAAAGGGAGGCAGTGGGGAGTGGAAAGTTGTGGAGGAGCTAAAAATGATACGGAGCCTCCTTAAAGGTCACGGAATCCTTACTTGCATACCTAGCAAAGCTGGAATGGCTTTGGCTTGAGTAGTGTGGTCATGCTGATCTTAAGCCTCTCTAGATATAACGCGCAAACAAGAAATCCTTTTACGTCCTACTTATAAGACAGATAATATCCAGAAAGTAATCACTTTTTTCACTTCATTAATTTTCCATGGTACCAATCATAAATACTTTAAAGTGTATGCATACCTTGTTGGCAGGTTCATCTAATTAGTAAAAATCAGTGCACTTACAAACCATTCATACTTTTTAGGCACGTGAAGAACTAATACAGTATAATTAAACCAGCTATTTTTCATGGTCATCTTCAGCATTTTGCCACCGAGCTATGTAGACATATATTGAAAGGAGTAGTTCTTTTTTTCTCCAAGGTAACTGTGTTTTATGTTTTAAGATTCAGAACTGGGTGTTTAGAAGTGTTCTTGTTGATTTTGGTTTTTTTTTTTTTTTAACTTGTGAGATAACTCTGCTTCCATTGCTAAATGTTACTCCAGCTCATCATGACAACTTAGGAATTCGTTATGCTGGCTTCCCTAATTGAGAGGTCAGATCTCTCTGTCTTCTGTGAGATGGACTTCAATGGGAAGCATCTTAGACTTTTAATTGTATCACTGCATTCATTTGAATGCACCTCTTTCTGGGACTGTTTGCCAGTCTGTTCTGGTATACTGAGATATTAAAGGAGGTTCTCTTTGAGGTTTTGTTAGTTGGAAAGGAAAAATTTCATCCCTACTGACTGGAATGTGAGCCTAATATTTGACAAAACCTGATGAGTACAAATCTGTAGGAGGGACACATTTGGTCTCCCTGAGCAGTTCACTAGAGGCAGGCATGTGTCTCCATGTCATTTTTTCCAATCTGATCCTGCGTACCTCTGTTTTACAGAATGGAAATTTTGTTGGGTTCTTTTCACCCCGTTGCTATTCTTTAGGGGATTTTTGAATGGGAAGTTTATAGGCAGTAAAAAGGAAGAGATTTTTGCTTTTGGTAACTTGTCAAATAAATTGCGTGTGTCCTGCCTCTGTGCTATTTGTTTTTTTAATAACATATAACAGTCTTATTTGCAGAAAGATGATTATTTTTTTAACAAGTTGTCATTTCCAGATTTTTTTTCCTTAAAGAAGTTTGCAGATGTTAAGAATAATAAGAGTGTGCAGTTACAAAGACAAATGACATTGTGCTCTAACTGTATTCTTTTCCCATTTTCTTTAGGCCACTGAGGAGGTCTCAAAAAACCTTGTTGCCATGAAAGAAATCTTGTATGGCACAAATGAAAAAGAACCACAGACAGAAGCTGTGGCACAGCTTGCTCAAGAGCTGTACAACAGTGGTCTTCTTAGTACCCTAGTAGCCGACTTGCAGCTAATCGATTTTGAGGTAAGAAAACAAGTTTGACATTTCTTCTATTGTATATGTTAAAATAAACATACCTGAATTCCTGCCACTTTAATTGGTTAAGATATCTTTCAGTCTTCAGCTGTTTTTTTTTTCTGGCTGGGACAAAACCATTAGAAGGAGAACTCATTGTGCCAAACAACCTAGAAAATTAAGCAAATATAGAATATGAAATCTGTGAATTTAGGCACATAAACTACACAAAATTGAAGTAGGTAAACCTCTAATCCTGATGATACAGTTCTGTTAAAATTATGGAATAATTCTTAACTGTGTGTACACAGAAGGGTTAATCTCTTAGTAGTAATACCATAGTGAACACAAGCTATAATACTGCAAGGCTTGTCTATATTCTTGTTAAAATAGATTACTTGGAAAAGTAAGACAATTGTCATAACTTAGATATTTAAAATTCTTCATAAATGTTAAAGCTGTTAGTTTTATTAATAGTCCAGTTGTTCACTCTCTCTTCAGAAACAAGTGATGCAACCTTTTTTGTTTTCCTCATCTTTTTTTCAGTTTAAAAAAAAAAAAACCGAACCCAAAACCACCCCAAATTTTTATTGATTACTTCAAAATAGCAATACTTATTTGTATTCAAATGTATCTCTGTATAAACCTCCATCTGGCATTTGTCACCACACCACATGGAATAATTTAAATTCCCTCTGCCGTAGTGAAAAATCACCCTATTTAGTTCTAAGAAATTGCAGTACAATTGGATTGTCCTGTTTTCCCTGAGGTCCTGCAAGAAGTGTGTGGTTGCCTAGGAAAGGAGCCAAAACCCATGTATCTCACCCCACAGCCTTGACCATAAAGACCCTCCCACTTGAGGTTACTTAAAAACGGGGTTGTTCGTAAGCACGTTGTTCACAGTCACAACGGTTGAAAGTCCTATTGTAGTATGGCATTCCAAAAAACAATGGCTTTCTTCCCTGTTCTTTCTTCTCTCCCCTCCACCCCACCCATAACTCCCTCTGATTTGTGTTTAATTGTAATATGGTGGTATTTTTTTCCCTACCCACACAACTGTTTATACCAAACATAAAACATTCAGGTGGTTAAATAAGCAAGGAGACCTGGGAAAGCTGAGAGGGAATGCTGAAATGTGATGACCTTTAATTACTGGAGAAAGGAAATCATGAAACGTCATCTGGATTCTGCTGACCTCTAGATTCTTATCAACTTGGTGTTTACTCAGCCTGGTTATTAGTGAAGCAAACCTTCATTATCTCCTGGTGATGAAGAATGATAACAATTTATGCAGGCTTGCTCTCATTAAGGACAACTATTCATTTTATTCTAAGGGGACTTGAAAAGATTGCGAATAGTTTCCTGCTTGTGGACTTTCTGCTGCTTTGTTACACAAGGATATGACAGTTCCCCTTGAGAGAGAACAAGTCATTCACACTGCTTTCTAGGCTGGACCATGTGTGCTTTTTAAGGATGGGATCTGGCAGATTGTCCAGCTGTTGTTGTTACCTAGAACTAATGACAACACACCTGTGCTCCAAATGTGCACTAGCTTCCCAGCTGTTACAAAGTCAATCAGATGTTGGCTTTGATAGCCCAAATCTCTATGGTTGGGGTTTTACTGCATTTGAAATGATTTCTCCGTTACTGATGGAGATATAAACTTCATTTCCTGTTGGCTCTTAAACTTGAAGAGTAGGTCTGGCTTTTATTCCTTCTGGTGCCCCACCACAGCTTGAGGTCGTTCAATGATGAAGTAAATGTGTCTTTTTTTTTGGTCAAGAACTTCACTCTGATTCCTGAAGAAGTTTTCCTTGTAGAACAGGAATGGACAACTAATTAATAGACAGAGACTGTTCACTCTGACTCTTAAACTGTCTCAAATGTATTTGAATAGTATTGTTAAAATCCCAGAAAAGTAACAAAGTAAAAACCAGGAAACTAACAACTTTAATGTTCTAAGTAAGAAACTGTCTGACTGTCCAGACCCTGCTATATATAAAGGCCTGTTTAAAATTATATCCTTACCTGGAAGCTTGCTTTCCAAGTAAAGCAGTAAGCACAACCATCTACTTACCAGTCTCATAAACTTACCAGTTACCTCCCTGCTGATTTGTGCTACTGTGTCTGTAGGAGAGATGGTATCCCTTGTGGAACTGGGATTTTTTTGTTCTTATTTTTTTAAATGAAAAACAAAACAAAAACCAAACCCCAAAACAAAAAATGCCTTTTGCATAAGGGAGCCTGAATCCTTCTGCTCGGAAGACAATACTAGCACAGTCTCCCTCTCACCTCTCGCAGTCGTGACTATTGGCACAAGGTTCAGTGTCTGTTTGCCCTTGTTAGGCCATGAGATCACTTAGTAATACATCCTTCTAACAATAACTAGCTTTGGTATTACTGTGTACCACTATCAGTTCAATTATGTGCATAATAAGGAAATGCTGTTCTTGCTGGTGAATCCAAAGCAAATTGTGAGATCCAGTGCGAAATTGGCAATGTTAGTGAATGAGAGTTGATGACTATATTATGTGGAGTTTGAGTAAAGCAATTTCTGGAAACACTGCTCTACTCATTTCAGAACAAAGAGTTCTGGTGTTGCTTTGGGCTGGCTTTCAATGGAATTGTAATTGAGAAAACAAGCGTTTACAAACAAACTCTTATATCCTGAAAACAACACTCTAACAAAACTGTCCGTGGTAATTCACAAACATGCCATTTGTAAAACTACAGTCCTCATACATTTTTATAAACATTTGATTTTTTCTTCTGTAATCTTATTGATGTTGATTAGAAAACTGAAATAATTTTGAATAATTGCTGTTGTTTTTAAAATTCTTGCTAATTAAATATGCCCTGCGTTTTACTCAAAAGCTTGCTGATGTTAGGGCATTTATAGTACAGCTAGAGATTGTCAAGAAATGCTATCTACGTATGGTTGTTGTGTATGACATTCAGGGAACTGTCAGGTGGAGTTGCTTAACAGGCCTTTATTTGCAAGTCCATTTATTTAACTTCCATAAGTTATAGTTTCAAGTTGGATGTTAACACTGCAGTCAGAAATGCCCTGCACACTTGTAATGGTGGCATTACGTGTGCCTAGACAAGGGGAGAGGATAATGGAATATTGAAGAAACACACTTTCAGGCCAGAGCACAGTTAAAAACTGGTGTGTTATTAGCAAAACCAAGTATAAAACAAGCCCAGGAGATTGATGCTACATAGAAGTATCTGATGAAACATGAGCTGGCTTTACTTTATGTAAATTAACCTTGATCTGGCTGCAAGGTGATGTAATGTTTTGAATGCTTTGGAATATTTGAAATGGGTACAAAGAAGCAGAATATTTGATCTGTTTAAGATCAGCGTACACAGGCTGACTGAACTGCAGAACTCACATGGTATGAATGCATGAGATGGTGGTAATGTTTAATTGTCACTTGCCCAGTGGACTTGAATATTATGTGTCTAACTGCTAATGTTTTTGACAGGGCAAAAAAGACGTTGCGCAAATTTTCAACAACATTCTCAGAAGGCAAATTGGTACAAGAACCCCCACAGTCGAATATATCTGCACTCAACAGAATATATTGTTCATGCTATTAAAAGGGTATGTACACTGTGAAGCATAAATACGCTTTTATATGAAGTAAGAAGTTTTTAAATTCATGGAGAAGCAGTGAGCTCTGAAATGTTTTTTTCTTCCTTTGCAGTATGCTTGATTTTTTTTTTTTTTTTTTTGTCTTGTGGCCTCTAATTCCCCTAAGGATAGGAAAATTTGAGTAATAAAACACCAAAAATATACTTTTGCGTGAAATATGACTGAAATTTGAGAACTGTTAGTAATCTAAAATACTCTTAGTGGGGTACTGCAGAAATTTTCCGTTCAGTGTAATATTTGATCCTATTTAAACTATTTCTTTGTGAACTTACTCATCAAGAGTTAAAGGCTTGTTTTTTTCCCTTTAACAACTGTCATTTCGAGTTTACTGTCTTATCCCCTGGTCTTAGTTTGGTCTTAGACTTTTTATTCATAGTGATTTATATTCCTGTAGTGACACAAATGTACCAACTCCTACTTGGCCAAACAAAGAATGATTTGGGGCGTATGGTGCATGCCAGACATCTGTTTCTTCCTCTATTCTCGTATTATCTGATGTGCTGGATATTGGAGAATCATGCCATGCTGAATACGTGGTTGCATATGTAGAGCTGTGGATCTCAGGCATGAAAGCAGAAAGGTGTTCTTAACATTTTCATGTTAAAATAAGATTTTTTAAAAAATTGAGAATGTGCTCGCCATTTAAAAAGAATAGCTCGTGTTTCTAATAACGTCAATTAAGAAAGTTCTGAAAATTGCAATTCCAGTGTGTTTCTTAGGGATAGAAAAATTCATCAAATATTAAACCATTTAAAAATACAGCTATTCCAATAACTAGTTTTATAATTTGTGTTAAAGCTGCTGGGTAAGCTTACTGCAGTTGATGAGTACTTATTCCACCTTCTGGGATAGCTGGGGGATTCATGGAAAGGCCATGCTTCTCAGTGAGATACTTGCCTGTGTTATGTTGGTAGCATTGAGATGAGAGGATAATCAAGTATGGGTTTAACCTTTAAACAGGAAGGTTTATTGTGTTTTTCCTTTCCCTTCCTCCTTGTTCATATTAGCAATTAGAGATGCTGACTAACTTGCCGCATATGTGGTGAATTAGGCTATTTTATTGTAACATCTCTACGTTTAGATAATTGTGGCCATTTGTGTAAGCCACTGGAAACTAGATCATACCAGAAGCTTTCTGTGTGGCAAAAGCAGGTGTTTTACATCTTTTAGTTTCATGCTGACTCCAAAGGTTCAGCACCAGAAGCAGGGTGTAATATTTGCTTCAGTTCATACAGGTGTAAGATGTGCACTCATCTGCCAGAAGGGCTTTGTTGTTTGGCGTTTTTTTTTTCCTCCTTGCATTACAGCCCTGATTTTGGGGGGAAGCGAGATTTAAATGTTAGAAGGACAAAAGGACTATTCATTTTGGCATAACACAAAAGAAAACATTGATTCAGTACTTCTTCAAAATAATTTACGAAAGAAGGCAAAGACATTTGAGGTGCAGAGAGATGAAACTACGTTCTCAGCATGCTCTCATTGATGTGTGACTGAATGAGGGCTGCAACACATTCGTCCTAATTTTTAGTCTGTGTTGTCACTCTTCAGAGAGCATTATTCTGACAGGGATTCAGGAAACACATATAAGTCAGGATGTTTGAATTGGGCATTTAGTTAGCTTTAATGACTTAAATGTTACATCTGGTATCCAACTGAGTCAAATTTATGGAAATTTAAAATTATGGGGTGAATTGCAAAAAGTTCAGTAGATGTCAAATCTCCATGACAGGCAAAATGGGAAAGTATTGCAGGATTTAACATGAAAGCTAATTCGTAAGAAAATGTTTTTGTATGGTAATATAGTTAGTGCTTAGTATGCACAATGATACTTTGCTCCTGAATTATTCTGTTGAATTTAAATTAGCTTCCAGTGGTACAGGATGAAGGATTCTTTAGGTGGGAGGCGGGAGGTATATAAGAAGCTTTGACTGCTCCAGAACCAGATAGGAACAACAGACATAACTTTTCTGTAGATGAGGATAGCTTATGTTGTAACATGCTGAGATGAGTTCTTCCTTTGGAAAGGCAGTCCCGTCTTCATCCAGGTTCCTACTTGTAGCTTGATTGGGAAAACAAGGAGCCTGGTAGCAAGTGCAAAGGTGTATTTCTATCAAATGTGCCTTAAATGCACTGGTGTGAGATTTTGGCAGCTGCTGTTAGTGTATGCTAAACTCAGCTGAGAGAACTCTGTAGTATTTGAGGAAGAAAGCCTGCTGAGGAAATGTAGTGACAATTTCTAAATGAAGCCATCAGGGATGGCCTCATCACTTCCATCAGACCAGTGATGGGCACGTTCCAGAGGTCTCTTGTAAGAAGGTGCAGATACTTTGCTAGAGGCAATAAAGGCTCAGGCACAGAGGAGTTCAGTATTGTCCTTACAATCAGAGGGTGCTGTTCGCAGCATTTCAGGATGGAAGCCCGTGATGTGCAGAGTAGCCAGTGATGCTGAAAAATGGTTTAATGGAAGAGGAGACATGAATTTGTCCAGTACTGTTAACCCTTCATGCTCATATTATGGATAGCTTTAAGTAAATTGCTGTCGTGTTTAAACAAACAGCTTCCAAGACAGAAATCACTTACTGCTTTTCCAGATGTCTGCAATCCCACCAGTACGAAAAAAGGAGACTGATTTTGAGTATAAAGAAAATATTTTTATTTAGTCTCACTTTTCAGTTTGTGAAAGTCATTTGTATTGGCTATAATTTGGCATTTAACTGGCAATGATTTCATTAATATTTCATAGAAATATTTAAAAGTGGAGTTTAATGCAGAAATAAGTACCTTTGATTTTTTGAATTTTTGTTTACTTGATAGCATTGAAAACCGTAATTAGCAATGTGGTGCTGAAGTGCTAACTTGTGAAAGTATTTATAAAGTATCTTTGTTGTGGGTTTTTTTTTGTTTGCTTGTTTTTTTTTAAATAGGTACGAATCTCCAGAAATTGCTCTAAATTGTGGAATAATGCTTAGAGAATGCATCAGGCATGAACCACTTGCTAAAATAATCTTGTGGTCAGAACAATTCTATGATTTCTTCAGATACGTGGAAATGTCAACATTTGACATTGCTTCGGACGCATTCGCCACATTCAAGGTAATTTACATACAACATTTGAATGATTATTTCTGTAGATCTCTGCTATGTGAACCCAGATGTTGTGTGTTACATTCTTGGGCAAAACAAGCTAGGGAGAGGGGGGCAAAACAAGCTAGGGAGAGGGGGACAAAATAGCTGTGATGCAAATGGGTAAGCTGGATGCAATTCTTCTTATTTCTCAAAATGTAAGAGATTTCCTTTAAATAGATATACTATGTTCCCGATAACTTTTATTCTCAAAAGCAAGACTTAAACTATCATGCATTCGCTGAATACATGGGCTTTTAAATCTGTGGCTCCAAGTCTGCAAGTGAGCAAACTCCTTTTCATTCCATTACAAAACTCAGTGTATTTGATGCTGATGCTTTGTCTGGGGAATTTTTTTTTTTTTGTCCTAAAATAACCACTTAAGGGATTATAGGCATAATATTGATTAGTATTAAGTAGTGGGTTTTAACCTTGGTTGCATCTAGTTCTGTGCAGAGCAGAGCCTTGATCCATAGATGGCATTCTTCAGTGATAATTCCACAGGCTATTTACCTGTGTGAATTAACACAACATGTAGCAGACCTTTCCTAACTGATGCCAAGATCCCTAGTAATGTCAGGTTACTGCATTCATGTTCTGAATCTCTTCATTTAATGAAATAGCAAAATTTTCTATTGGATGTCTTATGTGTAATGACTGTTTAAGGAGACTGTATATATATTGTTTAAATATCTTAGTGAAAATATTGGGTTTGTGCTCTTTTACAGGACTTGCTTACAAGACACAAGTTGCTAAGTGCAGAATTTTTGGAACAGCATTATGATAGGGTGAGCATTTTAATACTCAGAATTTTCTAGTGCTGTGTATCTTGTTTGAAGAAATCAGTATTTTCATTCCTTGTTTAGCTTCATTTTTTGGAAATTTACATACAATATTAAACCAGTTGGACTTACAGTAATTTCTGCCAAGCAGTAAAATTAAGATAAAGACCTTATCATTGAATGTAGAAAGTGTAAACATAAGAGAAGGCAGCAGAAACCTAGTTCTGTGAAAACTAGGTCAGATTTTTCCACTAGAGGGAACCCTTTCCTTGTCTTTTTCTTTTGTCTGTATTAACCAAAGAATACAAGATAGCCTTCCTCCACATGCTGGAGACTTCTGAAATTAATGAACAGTGTTCAGTACCAGGAACTACCATAGTTTAAGAAATAATGAGATAACTACTTCCACCACATTGCAATCTAAACATTAAAGGCTCCTAAAAGAGTAAATAGATTTTTTTTTTTTTTTAAAGCATATGCAGTGTTTAAACAGTAGTGACTTACAGGAATCTACTGGGACTTCAGATTTTGTTTACGTTTTTGTTATGGATTTGCATGTCCTCCAGTTTGTTGTTATTTTGAAGAACAGTGCGTATAACACTTGGAAAGGTCCTAACCCTTCTCTTTACTCTGTGCTTAGTTCTTCAGTGAATATGAGAAGTTACTTCATTCAGAAAATTACGTGACAAAGAGACAGTCGCTTAAGGTAAGGCAATTTTACTTTCTTCTTAAATGCAAAGTTAGAGAATTCCTTTAATTTCAGATTGGGTTGACTTTAATTGAAATGTAACTCCAGCTGGTTTTCTTTAGTCCAGTCCTTCCGTTATTTAGTGTCCAGCACACCCCAAGTCATTTCTCTCCCTATGCAGAAATGGCTATATGCAAGTATGTTTATTTTTGTTGTTTTTTTTCCTTCAACAAATCTGGACACATGCAAATAATTTAATAAAGATTCATATGGTATGAGTTGACCAATACTAATCTTACATTCAAGTAGGTCAGAAACAGTCATTGTAAATATAATACATAACTTGTAGCAAGGGTGGTACTTTTGGGGAATATCCTTTTACTCCCTTTTGGACAAAGAAGGTAGCAAAAGAAGTGTAAATACTTCTCATTTGAAATCCTAACTTTTTTTTTTTAACCACATTCTTATTGGTGATGTATAGTTTCTGTAAAAAGGAAAAACTTTTCTTTCAATTCCAGTTCATAACAAGGGGAGAACAAAAGGTGATTTTTTTTTTTTACTTGTTGGGAAAAAGGAGAAACTGCATCATCGAAATAAGAGGAGAATGCACCCTGCACGTAGAAATTCAGGACATTTGAGTTCTGTTGTTACTATGTTTACAGACTGATGTCAACTACTCAGTGTGTTTGACAGCACTTAAGAAAAAGTTGTTTCTTGTGTCTGATCTCAGTCATTTTTACGTTGTTTTTCACTTTTAGCTTCTCGGTGAATTGTTATTGGACAGGCACAACTTCACAATTATGACAAAGTACATCAGTAAACCTGAAAATCTCAAACTAATGATGAACCTTCTACGAGACAAGAGTCGTAACATTCAGTTTGAGGCCTTTCATGTGTTTAAGGTATGTTTAAAAAAAACCCCACAATAAAACAAACAACAAAAGAACCCCACCAGAAGTTGTTCAGTTGAGTAAACTACTTACCTGAGCCTTGATGAAGTTTATCTTAATGTCCGCTAAGTGGTTAGATAGAGAGGTAATGTTTGGCATTATTATGATCCATCTTTACAAATGGCTGTCTTTGCATCTTTTGAAAATTGTTTAGAAACCACTAAGGGACTTTCATATGTTTGTCAGTGTAATCTCGCTTAGAAAATTGTGGAATTAAGAAGATGAGGTGCAGTAAGACACGGAGGAATTCATGATCTCATATGAAATGAAGGATCTTGGAGTTCAAAAGTGTTTTTGTCATGCTGCATTATCTATGAAGAATAGCAGTATTTTAGTCGTCACCTAAATTCCAAAGCCTAAATTGTAGTTTGCACATTAGAACAGGTACCTTCTGACTTTGCAGCAGACAAGCAAATAGTGAAGAGCTTGGAGATACCATCTGAGGTGTAAAAGTTTTCAGTGAACTTTAAGATACCTGTGTGATGCTGTATATAATATGAAACCATGCATTTGCTACAGAATTTGGTGGTGAGGTGTCTGCAGTGGTTTCTGCAGTGGGGTGGTGTGGCTGATCACCTCCCACAAATTGAATTTACTTTGATTCTGGTGTTCAGCTTCTATTCTAATTAAAAAAATGGAGTAATTTTGTTTTAAAACTTGCATTTAGTCCATTATTTTTTCTGTAGAGATACTGGAATATGGAATAATTAAAACATCATTTTAAGTTATTGTCATCACTGTTTTGTTGGCTAGGTTTGGGGTTTTTTTAACTTAGCCTTCTGTTTCTTACTATTATGCTAAATGTCTTTTATTTTCTTGCAGGTGTTTGTAGCCAATCCTAACAAGACACAGCCTATATTAGACATCCTTCTAAAGAACCAGACCAAACTTATTGAGTTCCTCAGCAAGTTTCAGAATGACAGGACCGAGGATGAACAATTTAATGATGAGAAGACCTATTTAGTTAAACAGATCAGGGATTTGAAGAGACCAGCACAGCAAGAAGCTTAATCTCCAATAAACCCTTAAAATATTAAACCCAAATTCAGCATTTGCTGTTAGATATTCAGCATCAGGCACTCTTATCGATTCATGAGGAACATTACTGCTAATCTGCTGTTCAGTGAACGGTTTTTGTTTTTCTCTTTTTTTTTAGTCCAAGTTGAAAAACATAGCTGCTGCTTTCTTGCACAATGTGGACTTTCTTGATATTTGTGTCATTTCAGAATTCAAAGACACTGCTTGTTTTAGGAGTCCTGAAAAGAAAGATTCTAGGTTCGTGAAAGCAAACATATAGATACTAGTTTGGTTTAGGAGAGAAGGTATTAATGTAGTTAAGTAACAGGTTGCATGCTTGCAAATCTGAATAAATCTGTATGTTTGCACTTACCTTGTTTGAGATATGAGCACAATGTGACCTGTGCATACCTGGCACCATAGTTTAAGATTATATGCCTTGATTTTAAAAAAAAAAAAATGTGCAGTGCTTTATTTGTAATCAAAGGGGAAATGTATGTAAGATGTGAGCTTATTGGGATGAACAGTTGTCTTGCAAATAAACTGATACTGAAACTTAGCAACTTTTAAAAGAGTGAAATTTCAAGGTTCATAAGGAAAATGTATATATGCCTTTCACTGCTTTATAGAATTTTTTTTGGACATGATTTGATTTTTCTGAGAATTGACTTGTAAACTTGGAAATATGTTCTAAGGGTTTTTGTTAATTTTACTTTAAAGGTATTTCAGACAGTAGACCTAGCAGTGACATTTTGCATTTCATTTCAACATTGCTTGCTGGTTTCTTTTGTATATAACTCCTAGGCTGCTCATTTCTTTAAAATATGATTTAATTTGTACAGCAGAGGAATGTTATTGTATTAGTCTGTAACTATTACCTAATATTGAGTTTTGCAAAATGAATGCTCATATGTAATTGAATACTTCAGATCACATGGAAATGCTGATTTAACAATCTTAAGTACTGCAGCATTAAAAAGAAAAAAACCCAAGCATTCTTTGTATTCACTTATCTAATGGGGTGCCATCAATTAGGGTAGGCTGAAATAGAGAACTGGAACCCTTTATACTACATTCTTACTGGATAATATTGGCCTTATTCAATTAAACAAGCATTGTGCTCACCAGCTCTGCAAATGGCAAAGATTATGCTAAATTAACATCGATTCCTCTTACTTCTGGGAGCCTGCAGTGCATAGTTTCTTTCTGACAGTAAATAACTCAGTACAGTAGTTGTGAAAGTGAATGATTTAATTCCCTCCAACTGCAAGAAACAATTTCATAGATGTCCTAGGGTAACAAAATGATTTAATATTGTCGATTTTGTTCTTTAATGCTGCAAACTATCAGTATTTATGAAAACAAAAAACCCAACTGATTTTGCACCATGTTTTTGTTACTGTGACCATACAAAAGGAATCTACTAAATATAGCTAAATTATGTTATTAAAATTGTATCTATCCATCATATAGTAACGCTAAGATCACAACCAAGCAAACTTACGGATTGGAGTCTCAAAGTTCAAAATCTGCATGGCTGAATCTGATGGAGAATGCTATAGAAAATGTTTGTTGCTTCCTGTCCTCTTCCCAATTAAAATATTTTGCAATCAGCAAGGTGAAACTCCTAAGCGACGTTTAAGCTGATGTGAAAGCCTTCACCAGGGAAGTCAGATAGCTCCAGAAAAGTGAGTGTTTTCACTCAGTTGTTTAAAATTGCTCTTAACATTATAATTGGTCCTTTAAAAGGTTCTTCATGTGTCCTTTACAAACAGATTCATTTTGCCTACAGGAAAGAAAATAGCTTACTCTTACCGAAGATCACTTACCCGGGCAGGCAGAATTGGCCAGGAAGTGGTATCATAGTTCAGTACTAACAGTCTATTCTATTTTGGTTTATCATAGCTGAGTGGAGGAAAACATTATTTGCCAAGTTACTCACCATAACATATAAGGCTTCCTCTTTAGATAAACATAGACGTGCTGAGGATTTATATATATAAAGAAGTGAAAACATTTGGACTTGGGATAGAGGTTACTTGATATCAGGCCTTGGGAACAGTGGCTATGGTGACTTTTTTAATATGTGGAAACATTTGAATGTTGACTTTCGAAAAGAAGTTGTATTTAAATTAAAGCTCATTTGACATGCTCTTCGTATTAAAAACCCTGTTGTTCTGGAAGTCGTTTCTTATCTGATTGAAGGCTTAAGGGTATTACTAAAAGTTATTTAAGTGTGAGTGGGGTTTTTGGGGTTTTTTTTGTTTTGGTTTTTTTTTTAAATAAGAGATGTATACAATTGTAATTGTGCTTCCGTGGTAGCATTGAATTTCTCCTGAGGAAAATGCATTTCTTATCCAAAAAATCTGGCTGGCCCCATAATTTAAATTGAAATAAAATTTTGAAGAAAAATGTGTGGTTTTTACTGTGTCACTGAAGATGATGTATTTCTTGTGGATGTGAATCTTTTCTCCTTTATTGCCTTAGATGGGTTCAGCTTTCTCACATGATTTAAATGTGAAGTAATTTTAAATCATGAAAAACTCTGGCTTCCAAAAACATTTTTAAGGAATTAAGACCAAGTTCTGTATTAGAGATGTAATCAATTTTAATTAATTGTTTCTGCCTTCTCTTATCTATTTGCTATCAGCATTATTTGCCAATTCTATTCCTCTTTTGCATTACCAAGGTCAAAGGGAGGAGATGCTCTTTCCTGCGTCACGTCTAGAGACAGGACCCGCTAGCAGTAGTGGAAGGGACTTCTGGATAATTGTTGGTCCTTCCCTTCTCTCTAAATTTCAGGAGCTGAAAGTGTGTGCAGTTGGTAGCTCCTCCTTAGGAAATCCTGTGGTCTCTTTGTCTTTGAAGCTGTCTGCCTCTGTCTGTTTTTCACAGGTAACATCCCAAATTATGCAGGGTGGCTAACGTCAAGAGAGCCTGTTACATTTAAAAAACAAGCAGAAAACGTTCAGGAGTTTTTGATGCAGATTCTTCAGATGGTTTTGTTTAGTGAAACTACTGAAAAATCTGGTTTCCTGCCAGGAACCAGGATATTTACCTTGCAGACAAAAATATTTGGTCTTTTATAGTCCCCACTAGAGGCTATACCTGTTTGAGCCTTTATATAAAATGTTAGCATTTTTCTCCCTCACTGACAGTAAAATTACAGGTTACAAAGGGAAGGAGTAATTGATAGTTGTAATAAAAAAATAAAATTGCAAATTTTAATTAAAAATAGGTTGGATACTTGACAGGGTGCGTGGATGCAATGGCCCTGGCGGGGGGAGGCATGGGAAATGCGAGGAGATGTTGCACTGACTTCTTAAAATTTGTTTTCTCCGCAGTGTTGATCAGTGAGACCAGCCTTATGAGCTGCCACCTCTAGGAACCAGAGCGAAAGTTGCCCTCGGAGCCCGTGGAAGCAGGTCACGGACAAAGCTGCTTTCAGTAAGTTTGCTTCTGTTTGTGGCCTGCCAAGTCACCCCTAGCAGGCAACTTCATCGGTTTTCCTTTTGCTGCTACCCTTCCCCCCTCCCCTTTATTCTAGACTTTTGCCGGCTGCTTTGTTGATTAATTTGCCTGTCCATATTGCTTTCACTTGAGCTGGTGCCATCTTGTTGGGTGCAGTACCTTTATTTTCTGTCATCATCTTGGTTATTGATATATCCGTACTCCTTTCTCCAAAGATTCTGGCCTTTGTAAAGCTAAGTGTTGGGGGTTTTTTTTAGCTTTTCAGCATATTGTAATTCAAGCTGATGTTTAGAATCATAATGAGGAAAAAATAACCCTATTCTTTTGCATGGTATCTCTTTAAATCAGTGTTCAACTTAACCTGAGCCCATTGAACTTGTGAAGAGTTGTTTCCAGTGTATGTAATCTGTATTTACAGGTGTATCTGGGTAGATCCAGTTTAAATCCCATGTGACCGGAGGCAGGTCAAAATATCAAAAGAATCAAAATATGGAAAGAAGTTAAACGGAGGAAGGAGAGGGACACTTCAGAATATTGCAGTCTTTGAAGGAAATGGGCTATTTCATCAGAGAAAAGACCTGTTCTGCTTCTCGCTTAGAGATGTGCTGACTCATCTCTACTTAAAAAACAAACCAAGCCACCAGAAAACCCTGAGTTAGACAGCCAAGATATAATTAGATTCTTTTAAGTGTGTTGTATCACAACAAAATATAAAGACAAGCTCTTTTTTAGAGGGCTTATACTGAAGATTCTGGTTTACACAACAGAAGTACGAATATTTTGATTTCTTGCTCAGAAATGTCCTGGCCAGAACTGGTTTTCTATCACTTGTCATAAATGGACCCTTTATACTAAAGGTTTCCTCGCCGTCTGTCGCAGGAGAGTTTTCCAACTGTGTTGTCATGGGGCTGAGCGTGACTCGGGTACGCAGGAGAGCGTCCCACATCTGGAGGTGACGCTAGCTGAATTGCCTTACGGGTTCCTAGTAAGGGTAAAACTAAAAGATTGATCAAGAGGCCATGTTCAGAGGGAAGGAGGGTGAAGAATGTGCTGTAATACAAAGATTAATTTTAGATATTGTTTGAGGGGTATATAATTTTGGAAAAAACAAGTGATAAACATATATGCTGCTTTATTGGAACAGCTATGTATGTACTGTTTAAGATAGATGATTACAACTGGAGTTGTCTGCTCTCCTTGCCTAAAATTACATCAACAGTAGGTGTTTTCCATTTCTTCCACAGCAAATTCCTTGTACTGAGCTGTCATGGAGGATGCCGTTACAGTTCTTGTTTCTTCCTCTTGTGGCAGCCTTTGGGAAAACCTTACATCCCACTGTGAAGAAACTCATGGTGATAAAAATGTGAGTGTTGCTTAGCAAGGTTCTACTATTCAAACAGATTTTGAACTGAATTGAATATTGGTTAGTGTTATTGAGGGACGCAGAAGAAGATTAGGTTTGCATTTACTTTGAGCGGAAAACCAAGAATAGAAGCTGTATAGATTTTTAGGGCTGTTTTGGCAAGTTTAAGAATGTTGAGTATTCTAACATTAGTAAGGCTTTGTAACCATAATTCGGGGCACGCAGTACGTGTAGTACAGTGTTTAAACAACTGAGGTGTGAGCAAGCCAAGTTTTTGGCCTCAGCTCTTTCACAGCTTCTACAGATAGTACGGAATTAGAAGAAAATGTCACTGAGAGAAATCAGACTGTATTGCAGGCTTCTAGGCATCTAGACAGGTTGAGAAATACCGTCTGGAGAGACTAAAAGGTGCAAAGGTTCACCTGGCTATGAAACTTAGCTCGCAGCAGCTGAATTTCCTCATCTTTTTCCATCTCTGGAATTAGAGTGCTGGGTCACGCCAGCTAACATCCAATTACACGAAAACAGCGTTTAAAGATTTACAATAATATTACATAAAACATTTTTGCCTTAGAAATTGTTTCTTAAAGAAGCAGGAAACAATCTCTCAAACAAAACGGGTGTTATGGCAGAGTTAAGTTTTTGTAATGTTTCTTCAGGCTATCAGAACAGTAGGGAAATCCTTTAGGCTTCACTTTGTGATGGTGCACGTGCTTAATGTTTGAGGGGCCCTTACGAAACATAGATTAGGGTTGAATCTTAGTTCTAAGTCGTGTCAGAGCAATGTTCTAGAAAGAAAAAGCTCAGATAAAGCTAATGTTAACAGGGACGGTTACAAAACTACAGAGAAGCTTAAGATGAGTTTGTTGGAGGTTGTGAATAGGTTGTAAATATCTGTTGTTTAATTTAAAAGATGAAATAAGTTTGCCATGCTAGGTTGTAGGCCATCAGAGTGCAATAGATGTAATATGGTACACACTATACAGATAGGATTGGAATTTTGGCTTCAGTTTATCTAATGTAATAAACAGATATTTTAGAAAGAACAAAAAGTAAAGAGCTATGATGGACAGTGGCTGAAAGTATTCTTGCTTCTTGGCGTTATTTAGGAAGCTGGAGCCCCAGCTCTGCAATTTCTAATGCCAGTCTTCCCTTCTCTTGGGTGAAACCTGCAGGTGGAAGGGGAGAGGCATGGTGGCAAAACCGGAGTTATTAAAATAGCAGGGAAAAGCACATCTCATTCCTTACTGCCACTTTACAGTTTTAAAATGTTTCCCCTTTATAGCTTTGATACAAGAATAAACTGAAAGCTAGCATGGGGTAATTTAAACTTTTGTACGGAAACTTTGAAACGAGCACGAAGTTGTGAGTTCATTTCTTTTAGTTGAGTGTTTCTTCGGAGCTATGTTTTTTCTTTGAGCCTTGACTGGTGTAAATTAAATTTCCCTTGAGTACAGATTGCACTTGGTAATTACTAACACCTGACAGCTGTGCACAGGTGGTGTTACAGTCTGTAGTGTGAA